TTTTTTGTATTCATGTCTATGATAATAAAATCCTTTTGTTTAAACTTTATCTAATTTAACTTTATTTAACCAATTTCTAGAAAGTTGCATGTAGATCATTTTTCGAAAAATAAGGCCATAAACAAGTTTCACTTCTTACGTGTGTACACTAGTACACGCACACATTTTTTTTGTATTCATGTCTATGATAATAAAATCCTTTTGTTTAAACTTTATCTAATTTAACTTTATTTAACCAATTTCTAGAAAGTTGCATGTAGATCATTTTTCGAAAAATAAGGCCATAAACAAGTTTCACTTCTTACGTGTGTACACTAGTACACGCACACATTTTTTTTTTTTTTATGATTGATAGATTACTGGTGGCCCGGAGGCCTTTCCAGTTTCACCAGGACATGTGGGCGAGCAAAAGCTCAGCCAGGAGGGGTGGGATTTGCTAACAACTGTCCGAGCGCCTCCGAAGGAGACCTAACAACTCAAGAGCAATTGCTTCGCGAATGAATCTACTACCGGATCAGAATCGCGACCCACTGAGAAGATCCGGTGAGAAACTCAGCGGGCTGATGCATGGGTTAGGTTGCACGTCGACCTCTTTGTCGATTTCGACGAGTACGGTTACCGGGGTTCCTAAGCCTACTCCTAGTGTTAGCGCTGAAGACGTCTAATGCAAAGGTTATTGGATCTGATGGATCCGTAAGGACGTGTCTAGGGCGTCGACGATGACTGGCTCCTGCATGATCAGGATTCGGGGAGTAGTCAGCGGCGGCAACGATAAGGCGATTATCATGACGCATAGCCTTATCGAAGTACCGTTCCGACGCTGACTTCATGTATTTCTGGACTGATTCGAGGCCCAGGTCGTCGTGTAGGTCAACGTTCCTCACGAACCACGGAGCTCCAACGGCTAACCTGCAAAAGCGGGATTGTAGGGATTGGAGGGTGTCTATGTGTGCGCGGGCCGCGTGAGCGAACACCACACTATCAGCAGCGGCAACGATAAGGCGATTATCATGACGCAAACGTGTGAATGTGTTGAACGCGAGCTATATGGTAGGCAGAGTGGGGGTGTTAGGTTTTATTTTTGTTACGGAATTTCTTGATTTGGTCGCCGAGCTCAAAGCCCGCGATAAAAGCTATGCAATAGCTTAATATAATGCCGAAAAGTGAATGCTAAATGAAGCTAGAATTGGAGAATTAGAATTGAAAGAATAAATGAAAGGTTTAGTTAATTTACCTTCAATCTGTTAAAAAAAATCTACAAAATCTACATAGACGTACTATCTTAAAAAAATCGAATTATCAAAAACCGGCTTTCTTTTTATTGCCCTTGTAGGCATACGAGCATACGGCCCACCCGATGGTGAGTGATTACCGTCGCCCATGGACTTCAGCAATGCTAGCGGCAGAGTCAAGGCGTCGCCTACCGAGCTCAAGGCTCACAGACATATTTCATTTAATTGAAACATTTCATTGCCTAACAACGGACGTGCAACACCTGCGCAAACTATTTACTGACAAATAGGTACACAAGAGTTTTTGCAACTCTCATCGCAACTTAAATGCAAACATATTGAAAACTAGCGACCCGCCCTCGCTTCGCTTCGGAAACATTAAATTTTATTATTAATAGCTGAGTCTCGCGATGCTACCCGCGGTTATTGTCGTACCGCGAGTGACGCCGCGGGGCGAAGCTAGTCTAAAAAAAGTAGCCCTAGTTACTCCTTATATCATCAGCTACCTTTCAACGAAAGTCCCGTCAAAATCGGTCCAGCCTTTCCAGAGATTAGCCGGAACAAACAGACGGACAGACAAAAATTGTAAAAAATGTTATTTTGGTGTATGTACCGTACATATTTTCATATGCATGTAGTAAAAAGCGTTTATTTCAATACTACAAACAGACACAAATTTTATTTATATGTATAGATGTATAGATTACTCACATTTACGAAATACTTCGATGAGCGAGGTTACTTTCTGGAAACGCAATCCATTCTGAAAAATAATAATTAAGTGCTGTATTTAATATCATGCATGATCAAAAGATTTGATAAAATAATGTTTGGATGAATGTTTTCCTGTTCTTGCTAATTTGTTGCCGGAATGCAATATGACAACCGGCGCACCATTGATATGTCAACATAAATAAATAGACCTCATAGAGTCGTATGGCCATTAGCGATATTACGTATAACAAAAAGTCAAATAATAATTAAAATATTTAGAGAAATTCTGCTCATACTGTTTTTAATTTGTATTAGTAGGGTGGGTCGAATGGCAATTCTCCCATTTATATTTTGGTGCTTGGACCTGCCCGATGTGATAGCCACCGATACTATTAGAGAAATTCAACGCTAGACTTCACATTGAGTACATCGTTGTATTAAATCTTTTTTTTTTTATTGCTTAGATGTGTGGACGCGCTCACAGCCCACCTGGTGTTAAGTGGTTACAGGAGCTCATAGACATCTACAATGTAAATGCGCCACCCACCTTGAGATATAAGTTCTAAGGTCTCAAGTATAGTTACAACGGCTGCCCCACCCTTCAAACCGAAACGCATTACTGGTTCAAGTACAATTCTTGTTTAAGTTTTTTTACTGGTGCTAGGACCTCTTGTGAGTCCGCACGGGTACCACCGCCCTGCCTATTTCTGCCGCGAAGCAGTCATGCGTTTCGGTTTGAAGGGTAGGGCAGCCGTTGTAACTATACATGAGACCTTAGAACTTATATCTCAAGGTGGGTGGCGCATTTACGTTGTGGATGTCTATGGGCTCCAGTAACCACTTAACACTAGGTGGGCTGTGAGCTCGTCCACCCATCTAGCAAACAAAATTAAAGTTTTTATTATACTTTCGTTTATAAAACGCACAAGACTCTCATATGTAGTTTGACACTGCGAAATATTAATTGAATCTTCATTACCGCATATTACCAGCACTATCGCAAAAAATGGACTGTCCAATTCTATAAACATGAACTGGCAATTCATTTGACAAACCAATGCTCTAAGCCGCCAGCTCGCAGTCTTTTCTAATCCGTACCATAGACTAAATTCACTAAAATTAATTTACTGCTGGTAGGACCTCTTGTGAGTCCGCGCGGGTAGGTATCACCGCCCCGCCTATTTCTGCCGTGTAGCAGTAATGCGTTTCGATTTGAAGGGTGGAGCAGCCGTTGTAACTATACTGACATCTTAGAACTTATATCTCAAGGTGGATGGCGGCATTTACGTTGTAAATGTCTATAGGCTCCAGTAACCACTTAACACCAGGTGGGCTGTGAGCGCGTCCACCCATATAAGCAATAAAAAAAAAGGCTTGTTACTTACAACCTGTGGAATTTTTATAATTTGAAATTAAAACCGATAATAATTACCTCTGACGACGTATACGCCATAAATCTGCCGGGATTTACAGTTTCTTTCGTGATTGTATCGCAATATGTTGCATTGCAGACACATATTCCCGAACGATTGTATATTTCTTGAGGCGCGCAAGGCTTATCTGAAATTCGATGTAATTCGATTGATGCGTTTTATACAAAACCGTTTGGAATCAGTCTAATGTATTTTAAGATATTATTATTAGATTCGTACGTATGTTTGCATCTAATTATCATATCTAATGGCGGTAGGACCTCATATACCAAATAGTACCAATGTATACCAAATAGAACGGACCTTTAATTATCTTTAAATTAATACGTGAAGCAAAAACTTTGTACCACTTTTTACGAAAATTGCGCGGACGGAGGAGTATGAAATTTCTCGCACTTATAGAGAATATAAAAAAGGAGTGCAAAATGCTAATAAAATGCTAATAAATAATGCATAAAATATATTTTAAATCAATAAAGAAAACATTACACACACTACCATGTATTTGACACAACACATACATAAAAATATACTCTTTGTTTACTGTCAATTGGGAAACTTTTGTTATTGTTTAAAGTCTGTCGAATTGAAAATAGATTAATATTGTTTGTCTTTAATATTATTGATCTACAGTGCAGTTTTGGCGAACACTGCGATTATATTATCGAGATATAGTAGTTTTTCACAAAAGAACCATAATAATGTTTAAATTTATAATTTCAATTAATTATAGTCGAATCTCGACCACTGCAGGGCTACTAGTAAAGATAAATGTGGCGTATTAAGTAAAATTTCGGTTAAATCAAATAGCCTTTCCCCCCTCGATATGTTTTACTTATTAGTGCTTGCGATACTGTATATACGAGTAATTAACTGACTATAAACTCCCCATTGTATAAATGAAATTGCTGAGAAACAACTGATTCTTAAAGGATAAGACGTCCGGTGCATTCTTACTGACGCGATGCATTGTATCGTATTGAAGCCTTGAAGTATATGCCACAGACAATCCTGATCATGCAGCAGCCAGTTACCGTCGACGCCCTAGACACGTCCTTACGAATCCATCAGATCCAATAACCTTTGCATTAGGCGCCTTCAGCTCTAACGCTAGGAGCAGGCTTAGGTACCCCGGTAACCATACTCGTCGAACTTGACAAAGATTTCGACGTGCAACCTAACCCATACATCAGCCCGCTGAGCTTCTCGCCGTATCTTCTCAGCGGGTCGCGATTCTGATCCGGTAGTAGTTAGCAAATCCCACCTCTCCTGGCCGAGCGTTTGCTCGCCAGCGTGTTTTGGTGAAACTAGAAAAGCCTCCGGGCCACCAGTAATATTTCAATCATAAAAAAAATAAAAATATATAAGCTACTGCGCTCAAGGAAACATCGAGAAGATTTCATTCCTCAGACGGACGCGACGTTGGTAAATGTTCTCTTAAAACCGGTAAATAGAGTTGAAATTGTATTTTATACATTCAACTACATTTCAATGCACCTGTGTTTACTGTGATTTACATAAACACACTCACTCCATACATACATTGTTTAATTGAAATATAAGTTAAAGACGTAAGGTAATTTAATATCCGAAATTTGTGAAATGACGCTACACAAAAAAATAAATAGAAAAGACCTTTCTTATCGTACGTTGCAATGAATATATAGAGATGTAACGAAAATAGGGACGCCCTCAGGCTGGCGGCCGGTCGTACAACTCATGCCCAATTCCTACGCAGCGTGATAAAAGGACATATTTTTTTTTTATGATTGAGGGATTACTGGTAGCACGGAGGCCTTTCCAGTTTCACAAGAACAGGTGGGCGAGCAAGGGCTCAGCTACAAGGGGCGGGATTTGCTAACAGCTAACCGAACGCCTCCAAAAGAGACCTAACAACTCAAGAGTAGCTGCTTCGCGAATGAGTCTACTACCGGATCGAAATCGCGACCCGCAGAGAAGATCCGGCGAGAAACTTAACGGGCTGATGTTTAGGTTAGATTGCACATAGAGCTCTTTGCCGAATTCGACGAGTACGGTTACCAGGGTCCCTAAGCCTGCTCCTAGTGCTAGAGCTAAAGGTGACTAATGCAAGGGTTATTGGATCTGATGGATCCGTAAGGACGTATCTAGGGCGACGACGGCGACTGGCTCCTGCGTGATCAGGATTCGGGGAGTAGTCAGCGGCGGCAACGACAAGGCGATCACCATGACGCAAAACCATATCGAAGTAACGTTCCAACGCTACTGCTACGGAAAGATAACTAATAAAATTAAAAGAAATGTGTCTTTTAGCTTTATTATTTTGTAAGAAATTTCTTTTCAAAAAACTCATTGAAATATAATGAACACTCCAATACGAAGGCACGCTGGATATGCAACATCATCATCTCGTGCTAAGGCCCGTAATACACAGTGCCATTATCTCGATAATCTAATTCTAAGTCGTATATAAAAGTTATCCTATAAAAATGAAAATAGAAAGCACAAAATTGCCAGAGGAGACCTTTGAATATGTTATTTAATATAACTATTGGTTACCCACCGGTCGAAATTCGACCATCATTTTAATTTGAATTCTTTTATTGATTTAATATATCCAAATAAAAAAATTATTAGCCTTCTGCACTCCTTCTCTATATTCTTTATAAGTCTGGGAAATTTCATAGTCGTCCATCCGCGCAATTTTCGTTAAAATGGGTACAAAGTTTTTGATTCACGTATTAATATATAGATATAGGTCTCTATTACACGCTGTTCCTTCTATATCATGAAGGTTTTCATTAAAAAATATGAAAAACGTTTGAGATTAAGTTTAGAATTGGTCCTGCTACTGACGAATAATGGGAATACCAATATGTAAGTGGAAGCCGGAGTGGGAAACCTCTATCTTCTAGTTAATTATCAGCGCAACAATCACCATTAAGATTCCCTGCTATGAATTACGTTTCTTTATTGTTAATGGTTAGATGAGTAAACGGGTTCACGATGTTAGGAAGTTACAGGATTCTATAGATCTTCAAACATTATTACCTGACCTACCCTGAGACATGAGGTAGAAATCTCAATTGCATTTTTCAACGGCTGCCCCCTTCAAGCCGTAACTGGTGATCACGGCAGAACTAGGCAGAATGGGGCTTTTCACCCAATACGCCCAACCAATGATAGGCAGTTGGAGGACGCAGCGTATGCTGGTGAGTCATTCAGGTGACGCTACTGCTCATTATCTGGTGATCTCTTTAATCACATTTCGTTAACTCCAAGGGGAGAAATGGGGTGATATTGCAGGCCACTCCAAATCTATACAATCTAATATATATATTTTTTTTTTTATTGCTTAGATGGGTGGACGATCTCACAGCCCACCTGTTGTTTAGTGGTTACTGGAGCCCATAGACATCCACAGCGTAAATGCGCCACCCACCTTGAGATACAAGTTCTAAGGTCTCAGTATAGTTACAACGGCTGCCCCACCCTTCAAACCGAAACGCATTACTGCTTCACGGTAGAAATAGGCAGGGCGGTGGTACCCACCCGCGCGGACTCACAAGAGGTCCTACCACCAGTAAAATGCTGCTAAAATAATGCTTCAAACTAATTATGTTTTCAAAAGAACATACATACCGTTATTATAAGCACCCGCGGAACCAAACAATAAATACACGGCTGCCCATAATGAAGCAGATATAATACATTTGTTTATATCCATAAATATCAACTGATTCTAACTGTAGTGACGACTGAACAATAAAAACCTAGAAATTAATATCAGATTATGTTGACGTTGAATTTATAAGTTTCCTTTAAATATTTAACATATCAATACCTCTGGCAATCAATTGTTCAGGTAATTGTAAAGATGTTTTTTTTGAATATGTTATATTCGAAAAAATAATGAAATGTTGGTTCCGTAGGAACGATACCTTTAGAATTAATAATAGGAATTGTTTGTGTGTTGATTTGTTATATTATCGTATTTTCTTCTTTTTTTTATAATAAATCTAATAATTTTAGTAATTAGAAAAATTAGTACCCGCCTGTGGGATTCGAACATCGTTGCATCGCTTGATACGAATGCACCGGACGTGTTATTCTTTAGGCCACGACGACTTCAAACTTCAACTTATCAGTCATTACGCAACATAAGTTAACTTCGGATAGATTTTTATTACGCGATTACATTCCTTCGTAGTGGAAGTCATTCACGAACTTGTTATTAGAACGTATTTCATTAGAAATATTAATACCTTCCAACGAGGTTATGCCACCGGCACAGTCACAGGAAGTGGTCTGAGGAATTGTTTGAGATGATCTCATCATCTCGTTTTTACCATCACACCTCCCGCCATGAGAGTATACCATACTACCTGGAGCCACTGGGTTCATCCACAGTGCCTTTCCCGAGATCTTTTTTGGACACGTACCATCCGGCTTTCCGGCCAAACAAGGCTTTGGAGAGTATTTGACGTTAGGCAGCGGCGTGGCATTGCTGAAATCCATGGGGGACGACAACCACTCACCATCAGATGGGCTGTATGCACAACTGCCTACAAGGGGAATCAAAAAAAAATACATCGCTCGATTCGAGTGAGATAGATTTTTGGAAAAATAACTTCCTTTTTTTATTGAAACCCAGGTTCATCCTCAATGAATCATCATCATCATCAAACCTTCGTTCGTTTTTTTGGTTGAACGCGCTAAGTTCAGGAACTATGTACTGATCCGATTTGAAAAATTATTTCAGTGTCAGCTCATTTATTGAGGAAGGCTATATATAACATCACGCTAAGACCAATACAAGCGGAGCACCAATAAAGCATGTTTCAAAATCGGGATTTTTTCCCCTTCAAGAGCTTCCGCTGCGTGCGCTGTGAAGACGGTGAAAGTTTCGCTAAAATAATGTATGACAGAATTGTTCCCCTTTAAAAGTTTTAAAAAAAGTTCCGCTTTTTTTTATTTATTTTCTACCTAAGATGGTAGCCTTGAGAGGCTATTCCAGCGTAACCTTCACTAGTAGGTGAGCTCACGGGGCTCAAACCTGACGACGTTGCTAACACGAACCCTAGCAAGAGCCGTGCTTCGCAGAATCTACCATCGGATCGGAAACGCGACCCACTGATAAGATCCGGC